AGAATTATAGTTAGTAACCGGTCGCGTGAAATTATTTCTATTTGGCGGTCTATTATTATAGCTGTTATTTGATTTAGTCCGACATTCACTTGCTAAATGATTTGCCCGATTGCATATAAAACAACGTTTAATATTTTTATTATATTCATTAATATTATTATTTCTTCCAACCATGCCATTATTATTATTTTGATATGAATTTTGTTTATTGAAGCGTTTGTAATTATTATTATTATTGAAATTATTGTTATAATTATTATTGTAATTATTATTTTTATTTTTATTTAATCTTTCATTTGCTTCTTTTTCTGTTTTATATTCTAACTCTTCACTTTTGGCGATTTGTTTTGCTAATTCAAGTGTGGTTGGATTTCTAGCTTTAACCATTAATTTTATTGGTTTAATTAATCCCGTAATATATGCTGATAAAGTTAAATCTTTGGAAGTATCACAAATTGGTTGTATATCTGATCTTTGTTTCCCTATTGTACTTGCATTGCATAGCTTATAATATAAATTTTCTACTCTCTTATTATAGTCATTAATACTCTCATTATATTTTTGTTTAACCGAATTTAACTCTACTTGCAGCGATGATGCTGTGTGTTGAGCTTCGAAAGAATCTGTTAAATATTTTTTTACATATGCCCATTTGCTTATATCTCTATATTTTATTAATTCTGACACTTTCCCTGTTATTCTAGTCGTAATATATTTTATTAAAAATGGTACATGTTTTTCCTCTACCGCGCTTACCGCTAAATCACATGCATTTATAAAATTATTAATGTCATCCTCTGTTTTACATTTTGGTATAATTTTTATTGCTTCTTCTAACGAGAAATTTATTTTATTAATTATTTCCTTTGAGTCTGTCATTGTTTCTCTAGGTTTCCTTTCAAAAGTTAATTTTTTATGTTCAATATCTAATTGACTCCTAGTTCCTATCCTTTCTTTTGAGTTTAATTCTTTATCTATATTTTTTAGTGTTTTATCTAACAACTTTTTATTTTCCTTTAATTTTTCTTTCGACGGAGTAGCTACTTCCGAAGGAGACGGTGTTTCCCTATCACTATCTCTATTCATATAAATCTTTTATTTCAATTATTCTCATATATTTTCTCATATAATATTTTATTTTCTTTTTATTACCTCTTTATAATTCAATATTTTATTTTATTTATTATTTTTATACACAAGGCGGCGTGTGACATTCCAATATATTTTATTAGTACTTTTAAACTAAATTCACTTAATAATCTCTCAATTAAACACAAGGCGGCGTGTGACGTTCCAATATTTTATTAGTACTTTTAAACTAAATTCACTCAATAATTATTTATCTCAATTCAACTCTAATTATTTTTATTCAATTTATCTCATATTCAACTCAATTATTTTTTTTTATATTATCTCATTAATCTCATATATTCTCTTTGAAACTCAATAATTCTCTTTATAAATCTCATTTAATCTCATATATTCTTAATAACTCATTAAACTCAATTATTCTCATATACTTATTAATTCTCAATTATTTTCAACAACAATTTTTTTTTTTTTTTTATAAATTCTCAATAATTCTCTTCACAAAATTACAATGGATTAGCTACTTCCAAGGGAGATGGGTTTATTTCGCGATATATTAAAATATTTAATTTAATTCTTTTTTTTTTTTTTTAAAAAAAATTATATTTATATTTATTTTTTTTATTATTATTTCTTACACGCTCTTAACATATATTACCCCGTTAAATGTCACTTATTAATTAATTACAATTTTTGTATGCTTACAATAAAACGGAGTTGGACGTTTCCTTTGACATCTTGTTGATTGAACTACTGACACACGAGGTTCTTTTTCTTCTGGAGTTGCCGAAGATGAAATTGACACTTCCTTCTTCGACGATGGTCAAAATGAATTGATTACCTCCTCGAATTGAATTTCGTTGGAAATTCTCTTCTTAAAAAAAAAGAACTACCGACTGCGCCAATTTGTTGCGTGCCGTCGCTCAATCGTATATGATGGTTAAGTTTTTAAAGGATAGACTTCAATAAAACACTCAATTGAAATTTTAACTGTTTATTTAGCATATAAAAATAACATTAATATAAGAAATAATGTGGCGTGAAGGTGCTTGCGACTGTACATGTAAACCACATCTGAATATTGGTCTATTCCCAACCCCCTTATATACTTAGGTTTGGCGAAGATCAAACGTGCCGCGCTGGGCGATAGTTGTTTTCAACTATATTAAATAATTTGTCACTAGCCCGCTATTTATTACCTAGATGACCTCATTCGCACATATTCCATATTTGTCGCGACTTTTTCCCAGTTACATTTCTACATATAACCATGCGATTCACATATAATATATGTACTTGTTTACCTTCTGACTTTTAACTAAAATTCATTTCTATTTTTACGAATGCGAATATTGTGTTAATAATAATCATTTTCTTGATATCTACTATTTATGACCTACATGGTCCCGTCCATGTCGTATGAGTCGTAATATTTATTACATATTACCTGTCTTCGTAATATGTGCTTGCGTTACCCTTTGTTTTAAACTAATAGTTCCTTTCTATTATTGCGAATATTATATTACTCTCTAATATTTATAATTTATGTGGACCCGCCCGTACTGTAAGAGTCGTAAGGACCTACATTCATGTATGTCCGCAACAACTCATTAGTTTGTGTTCGTGTGTTAGACGAGTCTTTTGTTTGTTATACGTGATGTATTTTAAATACGTTTTAAAAAACATTCAAAATCTGAATAAATGACAATAGGTATTCTCTGTATTTTTTGATAATTTTTAAAATAAGTGAAATCATTATCATTAGTATCAAACATTATAGGTCGTCCAAGCTTATTCTTATTGCAAATAATTTTATGTTTTTTTAGTCCAGAAATACCCCAACATTTATTTTTGCAAGGTCAATTATTAAAAACTCTAAAACATCTTTTACGTATAATTAATTTAGATTTATGTTTAGTCATTTGATTTCATATTAATCTTGAAAAATTATTAATAAAATTGTAATGAGATGTTTTATCATGAGTTAAATAAAATAAATTGAAATGATTATTACATTTAGCATTATTAATATATAATGGAAAAATAATATCCTTATCATTTAAACTAAACACATTTACAGAAACATTACTAATATATATATGCTGCTACATTCATGGTTTTGAAAGATACGTCACGTTCTTCGTGTAATATCAAATTTTCGTATACACAATCTACATGTAAATTAAATTAAATTGACGTATTTTGAGTTGCTTTTTCTAATTTATTAATTAACAAATTTAGACTATTTTTAAAAAATTGATTGAAATCTATGAATTGATTCACATTTTGTAAGATGAATGTCTAAGAAATTGATTTAAATCGTTCTACTTCAATTAACCCATCTCCAGTTACACCCATTCAAGTTTTCTTATAAATCATTCTTCTCATCATTTTAACTATATAAAAACAGAAAATTATTTATTTTTTAAGTTATTTTCTAGTACATTTTTAGTTAGTTTAATATTATTTATTTTTAAGTTATATTTTTTTTGTATTTAAAAGAATATAATAATAGTTTATATGGTTTTAATAATTTAGATTTTTTAAAAACTTTTATACATTTATCCAAAAATTAATCGTTTGAAATAAAAATAATATATTATAAATACATAATAATATATATAATAATATATATATATATATATATATATATATATTATAAATAAACTACATATTTTAATAAGAGTTCTTTCTGAAACACTATTAGGTTCTATTCATGAATACGTTCTGTTATATACTAAAAAGAATTTAACAGACATTGAACAATTACTAAAAAGTAATAATATGATTATGGTAAAAAAAATAAATAAAACTTACGTATTTTAATAAGAGTTCCTTCTAATATTATAAATAGATACATAGAATACTAGGACTGTATGTGAGTTCACTTTTGCAAACAAACTATTTAAAAATGAATTAATAATGGAAATGTAATCATTTATTTTTTACGACTGTTCTTTAAATGGTAATTATTAATAATTTTTCAATTTATTTTATACATGCACATACTATAACATATAAAGATAAACTAAACGCTGTTATAACATCTGGCAAATTTGAAGATACTAATTTAACAGACAGCATTTCAATAAATGAAGATGGAAACACCTATACTTTTAAATCTCCTACTTTATCAGGAGAGGATTATTGGGTGATACAACACTATAAAACCAAAAATATTGCAAATTTTGCTCTTCAAGACAGGTAATATATTAATAATAATCATAAATAATAATTTGTATTTATACAATAAATAATGTATTTATATACTTTTATTTATGTTTTTTAATCTTAGACAGCAACAGGCTGAATGTTCAATTAAATTAATAACGTCTAACCTCCGTGGAAGTAAAGATGTTAATATTAATAAAAAAAATGCACGCTATCCCACACAACATATATATATTTAACTTTTATTTAACATTTTATATTAAACATTTTATATTTGATCAACATTGATTTTTCATTCATAAATATTTAATAAACATTGAAAGTTGATTTTTGAACCCATTTCTAATATTTATCTGATGTTGACAATAAACTTTCTTTTAAATTTAAATTCCAATATTTAATAAATATAAAAATTAAATATTTAAAAATATAATAGGATTTGTTTAACCACTATATAAAATACTTGAAATGTTATTAATACTAAAAGTAGGATTAGGTAAGTTTTAAAATTAAAATAACATATTAATAGAAACACCTTTATTTATTAGAATCTATTATAATATTATATATTATAATAAATAAAAATTATATTGAATATACAGCTTAATAAACATACAAACTTGTATAATAAAAACAAATTTTAAACATAACAAATTATATTTTTAGAGCAGGATTTGATAAAAAAAAAACTAATAATACTTTTTAATTTTTTTTTTTTGTCTGAAAAATGAATGTGTGTTAATTTCAGAAAATTAAAAATAAAATAAATGGCAATAATTGACAATTTTAGTCTGCAGCTGCAGCATTTATGCCAAGTTTATCATTTTTTTTAATGTTAAATGGTGCTTGTGCTAAATGGTACTTGATTCTACTTTCCAATTCGTTTTGTGAAACATTCATAAATTTAGATTGACATTTTACAGCATCTGTAAAATAATAATAAATAAACTATAATACATGTATTTAAATGCGAAGATATAGCATTCAATTAATAATCTAACCAAAAATAACAGGACAAATAATAAGATCACAAAATTTCTTTTTTCCTTTTTTCCCATTATAAGAAAATAGAGACAGTAAATTGTCAGTAAATAATTTCATCAGTATTCTTTTCATAGTACAATTAATATTATTACCTCCTGTTGCGGACATACATGAATGTAGGTCCTTACAACTCATACGACATGGACGGGACCATGTAGGTCATAAATAGTAGATATCAAGAAAATGATTATTATTAACACAATATTCGCATTCGTAAAAATAGAAATGAATTTTAGTTAAAAGTCAGAAGGTAAACAAGTACATATATTATATGTGAATCGCATGGTTATATGTAGAAATGTAACTGGGAAAAAGTCGCGACAAATATGGAATATGTGCGAATGAGGTCATCTAGGTAATAAATAGCGGGCTAGTGACAAATTATTTAATATAGTTGAAAACAACTATCGCCCAGCGCGGCACGTTTGATCTTCGCCAAACCTAAGTATATAAGGGGGTTGGGAACAGACCAATATTCAGATGTGGTTTACATGTACAGTCGCAAGCACCTTCACGCCACATTATTTCTCAAATTAATGTTTTGTACTTAGAAAATTTATTGAATAAACAGTTTAAATTACAATTAAGTATTTTTATTGAAGTATTATCCTTAAAAACTTAACTATCAAATACGATTGAGCGACGGCACGCAACACTCCCAAATATGATAAATATTGAATCTATAAAAATGAAAGGAATACATGTTATAATATATATTAAATATTGTATAACTACTTTAAAAAATAGTTTAAAGTGAAAATAAGTTGATAACCACAATAATTTAATTAATTACTACAGTGAATTGATAATATTTCTTAAAATTTAAACCATATAATATATTATGTACCTAAAATGGGAGGGATATCAACAATAAGTTTCATGTTCTAGTATAAAGTTAAACCATTTGTAATCTAAATAATAATTTATAATTTTACAATAATATTTTAACTAAAAATATTGATATATTTTACCACTAAATACATACCAAACATTTCTTAAAATTAAAATTTGTTTTTATTCGATCTTCTATAATATTTAAATTATATAAGTCTTCTATAGGAAAATTGCACTCTTCTAATTCATTAACATTATTTGTATCATCCTGTTTCTTAAAATTTCCATAATTTGATTCAATAGATTCCAATTTATTTAATATTTCATTTTGCTTTATTTCAATATGTTTTATATCAGTTTGTAAGTATATAATATTTCTCAATACGGCTTTTAGCATTTTTTGTGAACCTACAATAACAAATTAAAAGTTAGTTATTAGTTATTAATTATTATGTATAGTGATATAAACCAATTAAAACAATACAAAATTTTTTTGTGACATTAGATGATGGTAGTTTATCATTATATAGAAATTAGAGGATTGCCCTTTTTGCTCGTAAAATATTGATTTAATTTTTGTGTTTTACATGAAAAAAAAGTTAATGACAATTTAGATAAAAAGTGAATCATAAAAACAATAACATTTAAATGTGATTAATGAATTAAGTTAAAATTGTCTAAACAAAATAGTAAATTTAAATAATTTTTTTTTCAAAAATGTGATTTGTCACATTTATCCAGTTCTATTTTATTCATTTTTATTCCAGTAATAAATATATATTATATGAGTATTACACTTTTTAGAAATATAAATACTTTTATCTTGACTCATATCAGTCACTGAAGAGTTAATAATTTCTGCTTTTGATGATGAAATAGGAGTATTTATTTTTGCCATCTGCGCCATCTACAGTCATGTTCTCGTCTCCATCTGATAATAGTTTATCGAAAATTGTCAATTGTTTTACTGCCAAGTATAATAATAAAATTTACATTTATTGAATGGGTAATAAGTAAATATATATAATACATAAACCTATATATATATAGCCCATATATATATATATATATATATATGGGCTATATATCTAACCTGTTTTTTTAATAGATGTTGGCTTAGGACTTTTATCATAATAAGACAGTTTTCTTACTACTTCTGGAAAATGAAATTAAATGATAATATAAATACTTATATTTATAATATGTTTAATAAAATATCACCATATTATAATTTATGAATTTGAATTATTATTAAAATACATTGCCAATGTCATTTAATTTATTAAGGAAAACATTGTTTAGAATACTATATTTTTTAAGATCACTGACATGAAAATATATATAGTTAAAATTTTTAAATATTTAATAAATAATTTGTATTACTATTATAGTACATATAATTACTTGAAGCTGATGCTTTATGGGGAGATGGAGACCAACCATTAGGTTTGCTTTCAATAATTTGTTTACATTTTTTTGGAGAAGGTGACTGATATTGTGCATCATGATTAATCATTTTAGTGTTTGGTTTGGTTAAGGTATTAATTGTTGTATTATTTTCAATAATTTCAGAACCTATAAATGTTTATAAATGTACAGATAATATACTGATACAAAAACCTTATCACAATATATTGAATAGGAAGGTATAAATAAATGAGTACATATATTACCTAAATAAATTGGACATGAACTTAAAGTTGCTGTTGAATATGGGTTTTTCTTATGCTTGAACTTTCGATTAGCTTTATCATCATCATCAGAAAAGTCAGAAACAAACATTGCTTTTTTTGCTTTCTCTCTAGCTTTTATCAGGGATTCTAAATAATGAAGAATTATTCAAAATAACATTAAAATATGTTTACCAATTTACATTATTTATTATTAACATAAATTACCTATTCCTGAACACATCTCTCGAGCTTCTAGGAAATTATACTCCATTTCATTTGGAATACAGTGTTTTTCAACAAGTTTATGAAAATTTTTTGTATTTTTTGGCCATGCACATGTACCATTGTTTTTGCGAAACCAAAATTTAGGTACAGCCTCGACTGTGTTATCATCATAAAAATGCACAACTGAATATTTTGTTACATTCATTATTTATATTTATTAAAAGTATCTAAATCAAAACAAACCAAAATGTTAAATAGTATAAGTACCTACAAAATAACTTAACCTACTAATAATGTATCAAACAATTAATGAACTTCTGACTAATATAATATACATTATAATATTAATATACATAGGTGTATACAAGGGTACATATTATATATTTTATTGCAATTTGTAGGGAATTATTAATTTATACATACCAATATACCTATGTTTGGTAAATTAATTAATATTTAAAAATATTAATTAAGTAATAACATTTATCAGCAGGTTATTTCATTTTAATTTACAAAAATTACACCAAACTACTATCATTATTTTTTAATTAATAAAAACTTTTTCTCGGCAATCTTAACATTAGAACCTATACCTATCTACTTAGTAATCTCCTAACCTAACCTAACTTGTACAATGTACATAATATATATGATTAACTACTTAGAATATAAAGAAATAACAGCTAAAATTAATTAGTATCAGAATGCAGAATTGGAAAAGCAACTTTACCGGCCACCAGAGAATTATTTAAAATTAAATATTTTGAATATTCATTTTTCTCTATATCAATAGTAATAAGTGGTTCATAGAATTCATTCACAGTACCTATACCTAACTTTAAACTATTAATTGGTGTTTTATAAAATGGTCGAATATTTTTAAACTGTTTAGCAATAAATACTTTAGACTTATCACTTTTTTTTAAACAAACATTGACAATTTTAAAAATACTAAGACTACCATTAAAAGTAAATCCAATGTAACAATCTGATAGAGATTTAATATTTATTTTAATATTATTTTTAATAACAATTTTAAATTGAGGTCCAGTACATTCTTCAAGCAATGGGCCACTATTATGTTGCTTTAAATATTCAATAGAATTCACAGGAATATTAAGAATATTAGATTTACAGAAAGTCTGAAATTCATTATAACGATTCATAACCTGCTCCAGTGGTTTTTCATGTTTCCGTATCATTTTTTTTAAGGTTTTCATACAATTTTCGAACGGAAAACATGAACAATTATCTAGAGGCCCATATTTGTAATAATCTTCAACAATATGTAGTAAACCGTGTATATTAAGGGACAAAAATTCCCTACCATATAATTCTTCAAATTCATTAATAAAATATATAAGTAATTGTTCTACAAATTTAATAAGGTCTGGACTGCTATTTTGAGTTAAAAGAATCCGAAAACTAATATGTAAACAAACAAAATGTAAGTAACAATTATCATTAATAATACTTTTTAAAACAACTGGACCTGTATATAATAAAAACTGACGAAAATCTGTCGCCTTCCATCTAAGAACTTCATTGATACCCCTTGGAAGTCGAGAAAAATCACTGCATATTGAATGTTTTAAAAATAACATTTGTTTATTAATATCTATAATCTTTTTACTTTGAATTCTTACAGAAGTAGGAGCATTTTTTATGATACCAAGCCATAGTAAAATTAATTTTTTTGTTACTCCCAAGCATACAAGATGCATGTAGTCAAGGCTAAAACTGTCAACGAGGTTTATTTCAGGTATTTCAGTAATAATGGGAATGTTATCTGTCATATGATATTCTTTATCTATTCTGTTAATAAAATCTAAGTGAGTTTTATAGGTAAAATCAACACCAAGAAAACATACTCTATGTTCAGAATAAATGCCTTCAATTGTACATCGTGTGCACGAAAAAAAACCTGTATGACCTTTGGTCTTCAGAACAAAACTTTTAGCTGGTAAATCACAACAAAAAGTATCTACAATCACACGTTTTACATCATTTTTTGTTTAAAAACCATTTTTGTATAAATATTTCAGTTCATTAACCAAATCTAACA